CTGGGACGGGTTTTTTTGGGGGGGAGGGTAATGACAGCTCCCCACCCCCCAACCCCCAACCCCAACCCCACATTAAACCTCTCATTTATATTTGGAGCAAAAAGAGGTCGGACACATCTCTGATGATAGTTGTGCTTCAGAGTAACAAACAGGACTCTGGCTGCATTTAAACTTTCTTACAGGTGTCTGAGGATGAGCAAACAGAGTTAAAGGTGTTGTATTCTTTAAAGAAATGCACATTGTTCATGTTTTTAACGCCAAAGTTTTAAAATAATATTATCTAATGAACAGTGTGATGATGATGCTCAGCCACCAACACACCGGATGTTGCTCTCATATCTAAAATGAAGTGAGGTAAAGATATTTTTGTGTTTTTTTTAATGTTGCTCAGCAGTGATGGTCATCTTAAATGCAATTGACTTAATTGTAATGAAGTACTACAACTTTATTTGGTCGTGTTTGCACCTGTTTTGTTCCATCAACACTCTAAAAGTACACACTACACTCCTGTACAGTAGGTGGCGATATGCAGCTTTAAACTGAGAAGAAGAAGAAGCATTATTTTAGTGTTGCCTACCTGCTCAGATCAAGTAGGTGCTGTACTTGAGAACATCTCTCTACCAGAGCATCCACAGTCTGATCTTAGACCTACACTCGAGGAGGAAATTTTTTTTTAAAAATAATAATAAAAATATTGGTACTGTTTTAAGCATTTGCTGTATTGCCACTGACAAACTTGATCACGGCCTACAAATGTTTGCTGTCCAACCTGAAAAAGCACGTTAATTTATGTGGACATTATATAAGTTGGACGGTTTTAGACTTTTAGTCCCTTTGTTCTCTTTAAGGGTTTTTGCCAAATAAACTTTATTAAAGTGTTTTGTAAAAAAAAAGTACAAAAATTGTTTTAAAAAACCATCAAATTTTTAATTACTTCCATTACTTAAGTGTTTTTGTAAGCACTTTAACTTAAGTAATAATTGAACAGAGCTTCATTGAGTAATATTTGTACTAGTAGTATCAGTACTTTAACTCAATTAAAGAAGCATAGTACTTTGTCCACCGGTTGTAGAGGTATATCCAATATTTAATTTCTTAATYTTTGATTAAAAGTTATCCAATTTTTCACCAAATAATTTGTTGACAAACAACTGATTCCAGTAGAGCTCAGAGTATMRGCTGTAGATGACTCTCAGCTACTGCCAAACCAAAATCAGTATCTGAAAAACTGGTTATATGTTTGTGATTGCTAACYTWGCTTAGCTCTGGCAGACATCCTGAATCAGGTTGATTCCAAAAGTTGATTAGTTGTAAAAATATTTTCATTTTTAAAGGGTTTTKTTAAAATCTGTCCACTGTTTCATGAATATTTTTGATAAGACACCCACACACCCTAACCTTAACCACCCAGTGGAGTTCCACACCAAACTGGTCTTTGGTCCCCAGAAGGATTATTGGTCCTGACAGAATAGGTGTTTAAACCAGAATGAAAACCTGAAACACACACAAACCCAAAAACATCACCTTCTCTACCAAATAATATAATGGGAAATTAGTCCAGTTTTAGATTAGTACAGATCCAGAAAATAAAAATGAATTCCTCCCAAGTGTATTTCTATGACATCATRTAATTACTTTGGGTAAAACAGTTAAAAGAAAAGAGAAAAAAAAGTTAAATTATGGATCGACACGTTCCCATGCCTACACGAAGCGCTCGCTCCCTATCATTTTCATACATCTTATTTTCATGCCGCAGAAAAAGAACCTGGAGCAGATTCTGCCAGGAATTGGGGTGAAAAGGTTGTGTTTAAGGCCGTGCGTGCATTTGGGTTTGTTCCTGTGTGAACTGTARAAACGGTCTCTATGGGATTACAAACAAACAACTCTGACTTTATATTCAGAAGTTTGGATCATTTAAAGGGTTCTTTCTTTCAATCCTGGTGGAGTTAAGACGGAAACGTTGGAAGCTTTTTCCTCTTCACGTTTTGATTGCAATGCAAATGACAATTACACCGGCAGTCCCTCTCAGCCTCTCATCTTCCCACCAAGCCAGAAAAAACAACTGGATTCTAAAAAAAAAAAAAAAAAAATTGATCCACCGGGCTGAGAGCTCTCCATGAATACAAAACCCATTCCTGTTGGATGACCGACTTGACACAGAGCGGCACACAATTACCAAGCACATATGCCTCTCTGTGTTTGCTCTGTTTGATCAAAATTGGCTTGTCAGCTTGGACAGAATTTGAAAATGCAGATTAGCTTCACTGTGAGCACTCAGAACCGCTGAATGTATTATCTGTAGTGGCCAAAGCACTTCTCTTGAGTCGGGGACTTTCTGCCTCGGAAAGCGAAGAGTTTTGTGTGGGTTTTTATTGGAAATTATTTTCAAAGATCAGGAGAAGTGAGCAGGGAGCTGGGCTAACYGGTATTGTGAAATCTGCTCTAAGCAAGCAGATGAATCAGAACCAACTGCGTGGAGATAATTAAACTGTCAGTTCAGATGTTGATTTCAAAGTTTACAGCTTTTTAGYTCTTTGGGAATCACCTAGTTGGCACTAAAACACTGTTTTATGTGTCAAACTGTGTTGCCTCTGTTTTTGTGGATTTTGCTTGAGATTGGAACCAGTTGTGACTTTTTTGACAGGTTGCAGGTAAAAAGTGTAAAAATTTTAATTTAAAATTTGTTRGTTACTGAGCTGTCTGTTATGTTGACACAACTCTGGTTCATCCTTGGAGCTGAAGAGGCTTTTTGTGCCTGATTCACGCTCAGAAACTCATTAACACCAAACAAATAGAAAAGATTTCTAAGAATCACCAAAATAAAAGCCTATATGACTTGAAGGAATGCATATTACCCATCACATGATGGAGTTAGTTATTTGGTCAAGCCTTAAAAGGAAATTGAATATACAAGTTCATGCAATATTGTGATATCTCACATGATCTGTTAGCTCAAAATTTGTATGATTCAATGAGGCATTGGCCTTTTTATGTTAATATAATGTATCTGCTGTGTTTCTCTGCTTGTATTCTCATGTAAAATGAAGTGTGTGTGAATAAATATTTATTTTTATGCTTGAAAAATGTGGCACCACAGACTTATTATCGCATATACAGTATATTATCAGTCTTATTTTTCATAAGGAGTTACATTTTCTTTTCCAGAAATTTGAGTATAATACATAAGTATAACTAAAATTCATTTCATTGCAAAACAAATGGTGACATTTATTCACACATTAAGAAAATTTACTATTTAAATTAATATAATTTTATTATACCTGAGTTTAGAAAAGGGCAGTGCAAATGATTTGTAATTAGTTGTTTGAAATTACAGCGTTAATTGACTAACCTTCCATAAAGTAGCTTTATTACAGTTGTGCTTTTAAAAGTGATGTTGAGCAGTTCACACATAAAACTTTGCAGGTAAAAACAGGTGAAGTGGAACAAAGCTTCAGAAGTAGATTATTCTTGTTAATGTTTTTTAAAAATGTGGTGGTGTAGAGCAATTCTTTTTAATAACACTGAAATTTTTTTTATCTAACGACTGAGATTTCTTATATAAAATGTGTAAAGTTGAAACAGATTATATCAACTTCTTAATGTGACAAAACTTTTTTCAGACAACAAAAAAATAATCAATGTGAGCAACACGGTAAGAGGTGCCAACAAGATCTGTCAGTAAACGGCAGAGTCGAAGAAAACCTGCAGGACCAAAATAGACTTTAAGTTAAAGAAATCACTCTGCAAACACACACCAGATGTTGTCGAACCAGTGTGTGGGCGGTGTCGTGTCTGTGATTGACAGGAGCTCAGGGGAAAAACATCACCGTCTGAACACATTCATGGGTTAAAAAAAATGAAACAAGAAAAAGAGAAATAACTGGATGTGCTTGATATATTGTGAAGTAATGAAGTGTAAAAATTACAGTTAGAAAGCTGTCATGCACTTCATTTGTCACGTTGTGTCGAGGAAAGTGTGGATAAAATTTATATTAAATTTAAAGCTGTTGCATTTTGTTGTGTTTGATGGCATTATGTTTTATGCTATTAAGCTACTTTTAGCTTACAGCTACTTTTCAGTTATACTGTATTTATCATTTACAGCCAGCCTTTCACTGATTTTAACAAACCTTTAGATACTTTGTGCATTTAGTTAGTCTGTAGCTACTTAAACTCCTAGCTAACATTTGTTGTTTTTAGTTACCATTTCCCTATTCTTAGCTTTTAGCTAGTTCTTTTTTTTGTTTTTACATGTGCTACTTTTACTAAGCAATTTCCTATTTCTGCAATTTTATCTAGGATTTTGCTTTTATTTCAGCCTTTAGCTTGTGTRATGCTTCTTTTAATTTAAACAAATTATTTAAATAAACAATAAATGTTTAAATATGCACGTGCAAACAAGTTCTTTGAGTTTCTTTTGTGACATGTTTCTCTTGTTTCTAATTGTTTCTGGTTATTTATGGAAAATAACATGAAACTCTGATTTTTATTTAGTGTCAAACCTGTAGTTTTATTAACTCTGTGAGTATCCTGAGCCAATCATAGGACAAGTTTTTAACACAATATTTTTCTTTTAACATGAGAAAATTAAAGTATAAAATCTGTACAATATTGCACATAATAGATATTTAACTGTCTACATTCATATTTAAATAAACAAACTTTCAGGTAATGTTTATGTAGGCAAATGTCCTCAAAACGTATACAATACAGAAGGGGGAAGCCAGTGGAGCGAGAAGTATCACGCACAGCTCTCTGATTGGTCCTTGAAAAAAGGGGCGTGGCCTAGCATTGTGAGCGTTTCTCAAAACCAGCCTCCACGCAGCGCAGCCTTTCATTCACCACGGATTTTGTTGAGTTCGTTTGATCTGTCCAGCATTTTTGTTTGTTTCACAAATCAAATCGTTTTTCCTTGTTTGTTTTTGTTTTATTTTCCGCAAGTCTCCAACAGCGCGTGCAGCCTTCAGGTGTCCGGAAGAAGAGCTCTTTTGGAAAACTTTTTTTTTTTTTTTTTTTTTTTTTCCCCCTGTGCACCACTAACCCGAGTTGAGGTCCTCGCCTCTCTTCCACTCCTCTGTGTCCATCATGGATTTAGTTCGGATCGTGGGCTTCGTTGTGAGCGTCTGCGCCTGGTTCGGTTCTGCGGAGCGACACAGCGTCTACTGGAACAGGACGAACCCAAAGTAAATATATCTCTAACATCCCTCCTCTGCTGCTTCCTAATGGTGCAACTGATTTATCACTATGATTTTAGTGCATTAGATGAATAGTGTTACTTTTGCTCAATTCTCAGAGTAAATAAAGTTATTTTTGATTGATGAAGAAAAAAGCTGAGCTCCTGCTGGTGACAAGATCATGCACGCGCCTTTTCTCCCTCTCTGGGCCTGTTATTAAAGGACGGTTTACCTATAATTCATTGGCTCAACGTGATCAGATTTAATCCGTTTTGCAATCTGTGCATCTGCTGCACAATGAGTTGCATCCGTTTTAGTCGTGTGCTTATTCCTGAGTCAATCAGTGCAGGTTTTAAAGGGAAGTTTAAGTTTGTTTGTTTTTCTGCAGGAATTGATGCATTTAGTGCTGCAGGTTTTGTGTCGCCTGACTCAAAAACTCATAAGGTGGAAGATAATGTTTTTTCCTGTCTGTATGTGGTAGTGTTTTCAGCAAAATATCTCATGAGCCATTTGCTGAATTGTAATGAAACTTGCAAAGTTTCATCACTGTATTTGCATCTACAATTGATAACTTTTTGGGAATGACAGCTTTAAGATGTTTGCTACAGCCAACAGTTTGTTTGTTTTTTTACACAAAATCGAACATAACTCAGGTAATTTTACAAATTTTGACCTTAGATTTGGTGTGGTAGTAGCTGACAGTGATCCCCAACAAATGCTRCTCTATTGGATTCTAAGAGGTATTTGTGTACAATTTTGCCAACAACATTTTTGTCATCTTTGTCTCTGTTAGCTAAATAGCTCATGAATTACTGAACGGATTGTAACCAAACTTTCAGGAAATTGCTATTGAATGAACATTTACAACTCTTTAACTTTTGGGGTCAATCCAACTTAAAATGGTCGCCATAACCAACTGTGTTTTTTTAAAGAAAACTCTAAAATGGCTTTAGTTCTGTGAATTTTGCAGGTATTGTGCTAAAATCTTGAGAAGCCATAGGTGAGACTAATTAACAACACATAATCTAAGTGCTAATTATTTTACAAGATCTTTGATTAAAACTTTGACATTGATTCTTAAAGTTAACTCTGTCTGTTAGCAAAATATCTCATTAACAACTCAGCAGGTTTTATTGAAACTTTCAGGAAGTAATAATAAATGGATGTACGTGAAAAACTGATGAACTTAGCAACCCAATTAAATATTGCCTCTACAGTTAATCTACATTAACTAACACAAAGATAGTTCCAACTCTGTTGGTTTCACTAATATTGAGCTATAATTTTCCATCATGAAAGGCGTTCAATGAATGGTAGATTTTTAATTCATTCATTAGTTTGTGTGCTGTCAGGATGGAGCACCCTTAAATTATTTCCATGTGTTTTTATTTATTATTTTTTTATATATACAGGCTTGACTCACAGAAAAACATGTTGAAATATCTGTTGCAATATCCTCCCCATCTGACACGCAGCCCTAACCTCTGTGTGGAGTGGGAGGCTGCTGCGTCTCCTAAATCAGGAGACATCACATGGGGGTTCTGTGTTTGTCAGGGAGACGTACGGGCGTTCATATTTCAGGTGCCGGACGGGTAATAATGGTGCGCGACAGAGACAGAGGAGGTAACATGATGCCTGCCCAGTAGGTCACACTACGTGGGAGAGAGAGAGATGGATTGCTTGGGGAGGAGAAATCGGAGCTGAAATTGTCAGGGTTAGGGGCCATTTTGGAATAAGTGGGGGTCAATTAGAATTATGAGTTGATGATGTCTGGGGTATATACGAAAGGAGGTCAGGTTTGCACGCCACAAGCAAAGGTTCTGCAGGCAGGCACCCACACACAAACACGCCCACATGGACAGGCAAGTGCGAAGAGACTCCTGGCAGACAATCACTCAATCACACCAACCGAAGCCGTCTAAATCAATCCCACTCTCTCTGCAAACACCAAATGTTCTCCCGCAAGCTCACATCCAACTTTCTCCTTTCCTCTCAACGGGGGCTAAAACGGCATCATTTAACGTTCTCAGAAAGTCCATAATTACAGCGGGAAAGCTTTTCTCTGAAAAGTCAGGGTCCCAGATGGAGAGGCTTTTTGTGGTGCTGTGCAGCAACAGTGGTCATGCTAGATATGCTGGTAATCCCTGTTTTTCTTTTTTCTTTTTTTTGCACTTGCTATTAAACAACTGCAATAAAGCTCTCTCTTTCTTAATCCTGTATTCACAGGAAAAACAAAGCCCGGAGTTTAAGAAATGTTTTCATTCAGAATATTTCTCATCAATCCCAGCATTTGCCTGTTTCCTGTTGACCCATATAGTGTGTTGACGTCCATCATTTCCCATGTGCCTCTTCCTCTGTCAGGTCCAGGTTTTAAGCTCTCCTCCGGCTCCCAAAACTACTCATTAATCAAACTGATCCCAGATTGATCACCTCAGTCCTCGTGGACCAGACTCATTTCCTTTTCAGATTATTTTTGTTCTTACCATCGAAGGTGAAGGCAGAGCAATGATGTTCTTACCTGTGTCTGTTTCCATAAATCATGAATCAGTGAGCAAATTTTAATGAAACATTCACAAAGTAATCATTAGGTGTTACATCTACAGTGAATTAATTTTTAGACGCAGTCCTTTTAAAGATGGCCGCCACATCTGGTCAACACGAGCTCCATAGCTCAGTCGTTTTTCACATATTTTGAAGAAAAAAATGGGTGTGGTAGTTGCTGAGAGTCATCCTCGTCATATACTTGGAGCACAGCGCATTTCACAGCAACTTTGCTTCAAACCAACACTGTTGGCAAAACATTTCATGAAATATTGGAGAGATTTTCAGGAATGTAATCATTGGATGTGCGTCTCATCAGATCTAGAGAGAAGGGGGCTCTGCAGTCACTTAGTGGGAGTTTCTTGGTGTTTATCAAAGATATGATTGGTCTGTTTGAATTTTGTGGGATGTAGTTTATTAAAGGTTGGATCGGCTGTTTTAGGTGGAGTTTGAAGAAGCCATAATGATTCTTGTGGATGAACGCGGGGCAGCTAAGTGGATGCGTAACTTGGTCGCAAATGCCAGAACTATAACTTCAAATATAAATATTACTTTTAGTTTTCAGTCAAGTCAAAACAAATGACACAACATTTAAGCATCATCTTCCAGGTCTGGCCACTCTCATGAGYCAAAGACATCAAATCAGTTAGGAGGGTCTTCTTTATTCAACAACAGCTCAACCTAATGAGAGCGTGTGTGTGTCTGTTGTTTAGAAATAGGCGTGAATTAATTCATTTGTCTCTTTTTTTTAAGTACAATCTGCTCCCAAGTGACCCGTGCCATGGGAATTCAGAACAGAGTGCACATCAATTAATCACAACTTTAATCACGATATTAAAAAGATGTAAATTTACACTTTTAAATCATCAAAAAACAAGAATGTTTAGTGAATTTAAGAATCAGAGTTAAACAAAATAAATTTTCCATTCACTTCTTTTAACCTGCCCCACAAGACAAGTCAATCAGACTAATTATGGTTCGCTAACTCCGCCCACATCGAGAACACCAGCAATCAAGATTAAGGCAAACTCCGCCCACACAGCAAGAACCCCCCCGCCCCCCATGTACTGCAGAGACCCATGCTTGAAACAAGAATATCTACCCTCGACAACACTCTAAATTATAAATATTTAAGTAATGCTTATGTGTGTGCTTCATCTTCAACATGTCCTCCCAGCTTTCACATGGAAGATGCAGCCTTGGCGGCCATCTTGAATAAAAACTCTAGAAAGGCAGCGGGTGATATGCATTCTTTCACGTTTCCTACAGTGTGTGTGTGCGCGCGATCACACCTCAGGATCTGCTGACTTCCAAGGTCGAGTCCACATGAACTTTAATGACTACTTTGTTTCAGCATGTGTGAAATCTCTTCCCGACAGTGTTTTTTGTTTTTTTTAGATTTCAACACGCTGTGGATTTTTCCTCTTTCTTCCTGATTAGCAGCAGCTTAATCACCAGTGATTCCCAGAACGAGGTGCACCAGTGCTCCCTGTTAGCTTTCCGTGCGTGATTTTTTTTTAACTTAAAGGGAGTGTCTCTGTGCTTACTCACTGTGACTCACAAACACTCTCGTTCATTTTAAGCGACTCACACACACACGTGCACCGCGTCCACTCGGAACCCTAAAACTGAAACGTGAAGCAATAATCTGCAACTTCTCGGCTTCTTTGCCATGTTGGCAGAGCATAAGTAGACCACCTCCTTTACCCCTCCTCCTCCTTTTTTTCTGCTTTGTACCTGTCTGCCCCTCTCTCCACCACCTCCCTCCCCCTCTTTTTGGCCAGGTTCCCTTCTTCAGCCAGGTTCTGCCGCTCTTTTAACTGTTTCGTGGCTCACTCAGACACCGATTTATCTTTTCTGCAGACCTTTAAAGCCTTAAAGCAACAGTTCAGAAATATCAAAGCGGGATTCTGRGAAGTGGWTATGAACAAWTAATATCTTACCTGTCGTGGATAGCTGTTCGTGTGAGCTAATTCTTCTTAAACGATCTGAGCTATCCCTTTAACTGCAGGGTTTTTAAGATGCCCTCGCTCTTTGCTTGTCCTTTTACTGAATGAGCTTGAACATGCGRTGCATTGGTTCCACAGAGAGCTATTTCTGGTATGTTTCAGCCACATGAAAGGGTTTACTTGCCATTTATCCAGTCAATGTGGCCGTTTTGTGATGCGCTCCATACAAATTGGGGGAATGGCCTTCACAGTGGGCCACAGAAAGAGAATAGTAACCGGTGTGACTGATCAAGGGTCAGAGTTCAGCGTGTGATGAAGTGGCACGGCCTCTATCAATCTGTCAGTCATCCTGTCACGGCGGTGGTCCCTGAATACTTGCTGCCACTCAGGCCAGCTTCTCTTCTCACAGCCGTGGCTCTGCCTCTGGGAAACTCTCACCCCCCCAACACACACATACCCCACCTCTGTCTTTTCCATCCCCTTCGCTCCCTTGCCAGCTTTTTATCTCAACTTTTACAA